CAACCAGGCCGATGTTCTAAGGATGTTAGAAAGAGAAATTTGAGTGATATGGAGTACAAGTCAGCTACACTTCATGTGTTGCTAAATTGTCCCGAAGTTGTACCATTTCTCAAGTAAGTATTGATTTATTAGTTATCAAAATGTAAAATTTACCGTGACTATATATTGATGCAACTACTAAAAATATTTGATGTGTCACAGTCACTTCGTGGGTCAATTTGGCCATGATATTGTATATACGAGATTTGATACGTAGTTCAAACAGTTTGTAAGTGTGTGTGTATGTGTATATATATACACGTAGTGAATGTATAAAAATTGATTCATAAGTTGTGCTAACTTATGAATTTTTTTAACACTATGTAGGTAAATAATCCAAATAATGGTGTAAATCAATTTTTGAAAGATATATCTTAGGGACATGGGCTTCAGGTCACAACAATGTCTAAGTACGTAGTGAATGGTTATAAGTTTCATATAGAGGATTGCTCTAAAACTAAAAATAGCAACAACAACGGGGTGTGGGTTCAAGGTGGTGATGGCAACCAAGTTGGAGATATTGATTATTATGGTGTGGTCAAAGAAATATTATAACTAGAATATACAGGTTGGCCATATAAGAAATTGATACTCTTTAGCTGCAAGTGATTTGAACCAAATCCAACAAGAGGTAGAAGAGTACACCACCAATACAACATAATTGATAATCATATGAGGTAGTATGATCGCTATGATCCTTTCATAATTGCACATAACATTAGGCAAGTGTATTATGCTCCTTATCCTTTGCGGCGGAATAAGACCGATTGGTGGGTTGTAATAAAAACTAAGCCTGTAGGTAGGGTGGAAGTCAAGAATGTGTTAGGTGTTGCATATCAAAACGATATCTCCAGTGTTCACCAAATAGTGGACGATCAGTTAGAAAATAATTTGGAACATCCTGAATGCATATTGGAAGAAGTTGATATAAATAAAGTAACAATTATAGAAAATGAGGTTGAAGAATCAACTGATGAAGCTCAAACAAGTGAGGACGAAGAATTCTCGGACGAGGAACAATACGTCGATGAGGATTAAAAAGTTGGTTTTTTAAAGCACTCTCGTTTTATATCTAGTTTCTTATATGTTTCAATAAAAATGTGTATTATATTATGCAGATGGCAGGAAAGGGTCAAGGTAACAATGATCCTACTAATTCTCAGGGTCGAGAAAAGGGTAGGAAGGGAAAGAGGAGGGTAGAAAATAATAGTCCCTCTTGTCCACCCTTTTCAGAGATGCCTATGTCTTATCCTCCACCACACGGCTATACTGAGCTTCCACAGCATCACGAGTTGTACACCTTCATTCAGACACCAGACCTTCCATCACAAGGCCATAGGACTATACGTCCGACATACAGTCCAGTTGCCTCACAACCATCTGCATCACAGCCATCTACATCACATCCACATGGATCACATCCCTACATATCACAGCCACATGGATCACATCCATCCATGTCACAGCCATTCGGGTCACAACCATCAGTATCACATCCACTTGGGTCGCATCCAGCTATGTCGCAGTCACAAGGATCACAACCATCTTCATCATCGATTCCATCTATTGCAGGCCTTCACCTGCGAGGCAGTAGCTCTGACCCGCCTACACCGTCTTCACATGCCTCTGATACACATGCTTCGAATGGTGATGACGAGGTAGTGCATTATGATTGATATGGTATGATCATCATAGTCCCTTAGGGTGATGGGTAAGTGTTATTCATTATTTTTGCGTCTATTGATTTGTAACATTTTTACAAAGATATTAATGTGTTTTTATTGTTAAATTGCAGGTTCAGACCGGGTAATAAGACTATGAAGATAATCACCAATGCCATCAGAAAGCTTTATGATGGCCCTTATGCGACTTGGACTGATTGCCCATTCTCGCTGAAGGAGTAAATTTTTAATCAATTTAAGGTATAAATGTTCTTTTAAATAATTTAATAATTTATATTTATGATGTTTCCATCTAATATTTAACTTTTGAAATACAGAGCAAATGTGTATGGGAAAACCGCTATAGCGCGAAAGTGGCTGCAAATTTTCATCATAAAGCTCGCAAGAGATTGGTGGATGCTTTCTCGGATGCTAGAAAGAAGAACAAGAGGCCTGGATGGTTACTTGAGAATTTGTGGAATGATTTTCAAAGGCAATGTCTTACCGCGGAGTTCTTAGAGAGGAGGAAAAAGGAAAAAAAACTCGTGCATCCGAGAAGGGAGGCTCCTTGCACACTGGAGGTACGATCAACCTAGGGACAATAAAAAGAAGATTGGTACGTAATTTCTTAAATTATTTTAATTTTCTAAGTATATATATATTCTGTTTATTAACTAAATTAATTTATTTTCAGGAAAAGAAGTATGGGCGTCCAATGAGTCATGATGAGCTATTCAAGGAGACGTATATTGTGAAGAAGAAGAAAGAGGGGGATCAAGATAGGTGGGTTGAGGACCGGGCCTCAACTGCATATGTAAGTTTTTAATTTTCTTTAAGTATTATAATTTACTTTTATAAAAAATTTGAAATACTGATTTAATTTAAAATAATATAGGGTCACTACCAAAGTAACGTGGAGAAATTCATCCGTAGTCATAGAGCTGGTGAATCGGGTGAGCCAACCTAGCCTTCGGACGAGGATGCTGAAAGAATATGGTTGGAGTCTGTTGGCAGTCCAAAATGGGGGAAGGTATACGAGCTTCCCACTAAAAACATTCATCGCTATAAGTGTGAAATGCGAGGAATAGGAACTTCCTCGCAAGGCGAGCAACTTAATAGGGAGAGCCTCTCCGCTATGCAGGAGATAGTGACAAAGCTCACATCCGAGCTAGAAGTGGCCAAGGAAAGAGAAAGGCTTAGAGATGCTCAATTCCTTGGCATGCAAGCTCAGATCAGAACTCTCCTATCTAGTGGAGCTTTTCCGTTGCCCCGATCTCGTGAGTCATCTCCAGAGGGTCGACCTCCACGTGATCGTTCCTCCCATCCTCCCCGTGATCGTTCTTCCCGTCCTCCACAAGACCGTTTTCTATACCGTTTTTTTTAAATGAAAGTTCATCAGACGGTGATGATGATGTTGTAGAAAATACCCCTTGACTTTTATATACATTGAACTAGACAAATAGAACCAATTTTGAACTAGTTGTAATTAGTTTTAACTTGGTTTTGGATTTTTATGTTCAATTGAACTTTAATTTGTTAGTTTTAAAGTATTTATTGAATGTTTTGGTTGTTGTTGTGTTGTTGTTGTTGTGTTGTTATTGTTGCTGTGTTGTTGTTGTTGTTATTGTTATTAGGTGTATTGGTATGCTGGCAGGTGGCGTAGCTGCCAAAACATGCATTTTATGCCAAAATTAAACCCAAAAAAACGGACCAAAGTTGGTCGGTTTTTAATAAAAAAAAGAAAATTATTCCAAAATATCGACCAAAGTTGGTCGGTTAATGAACATTAAATTCCCAGAATTCAACATTACCGACTAACTTTGGTCGGTATTTTTCCTACACTGTTGAGGTTACCGATCATAGTTGGTCGGTAATGTTTAATTTTAATTATTTTAAAAAAATATATATTTTCAATTACCGAACAAAGTTGGTCGGTTTTTTTAAATTTTAATAATTAATAAAAAAATATAATTTAGTTAAACCCACCAACTTTGGTCGGTAAAATTAAATTAATAAAATATGTTTCCGACCAAAGTTGGTCGGTAAGTACTTAAACTTGTTAGATGATCGTTTTAAGCTACCGACCAACGTTGGTCGGTAATTTCCGACCAACTTTGGTCGGTAAGCCATTCCTACCATCAAAACACCGTCCACACCCTAATGGTCGCATTTTTTGTCGGTAATTGGCCATAACCGACCAACTTTGGTCAGTTCTTTTGGTCAGTTTTTAGCGGATTTCTAGTAGTGCGGCGACCGTTGAAGGGAGCTTTGACAAAATTGATTGTTTTTGACTCAATCGCGATGGCACAAAATAAGGTATCCTCACTCGAACACAGTCCTCTGTTATTTCTTCAAGCGGCAGATGCACCAGGACTAGTTTTAGTTCCAATCAAACTGACAGGGCCTCAGAATTACGCCTTGTGGAGTAGGGCAATGAAGCAAGCTCTTTTGGGCAAAAGTAAGCTTGGATTCGTTGACGGAACTTGTGTGAAAAACATATTCAGGGGTGAACTCCCAGAACAATGGGAGAAGTGCAATACGATTGTACTTTCATGGATCAGTAGTTCTGTCGCAGTTAAGTTAATGCCTAGCATCATGTTTGCGTCTAGTGCGAAGAAAGTGTGGAGTGATTTCCAGGAAAGGTTTGATAGATGCAGTTTGACTAGAATATATCATCTATGGACATAAATGGTAAATTTGAAATAAGGTACAGATTCTGTAACTACCTACTACTCAAATATGAATGACCTATGGAGTGAGCTAGATGCAATAGTTTCCTTATCTACATGTGATTGTGAAGAAGCTAGGCCATCCATAGAACATCTAGCTAATTAGAAGTTAATACAATTTTTAATGGGATTGAATGAAAGCTATAGTAATGTGAGGAGTAATGTACTGCTGAAAAGACCTATAGTTACTGTAAATAAGGCATATGTCGTAGTAACACAAGAAGAGAGTCAAAGATCCTTGGGTATTGGTGATGTAAATAGGGATCCCTTAACTATGTTAGCAGGGAGGGCCCAAAGTTTCAAGCCTAAGAAAACAAGGCTAGTTTATGAGCATTGTGGATACAAATGGCACCTAAAGGAAAACTATTATAAAATTATTGGATATCCTTCTAATTTCAAAAGTAATAAGAAACCAGTAGGAATAGAAGGAAGAACCTATGTCAACAATGCAGCTGTAGAAGAAAGCAACATTGGTGGAAGCCTTCCACAAGGACACTTCCTAATAGAAGAACAATATAAATAACTGGTGGGATTGCTGAACAAACCATCCAGTGGTGAGAGCTTTATCAACATGGCAGATATTGTTGCTTTATTATCCAATGCTTATTTAAGAGAGTTGATAATAGACTCTGGAGCAACACACCACATTACTTGCAATAAGGAGGTTTTGAACAATACAAAAGGATTAGAGACAAAGGAAGGAAATTATGTGCAATTACCAACAAGAAGTAGAGCTGAGATAACACACAAAAGGGATGCAATGATTTTAGGAGATCAGTACATTAACAATGTCTTATATGTGCCAGATTTTAAGTTTAATCTATTATCTGTAGCAAAGTTAACAAAGGACCTTAGATGTTTTGTTGGATTTTATCATGACTTCTGTTTATTACAGGAGCTTTACAATGGAAAGGTATTGGGGATTGGTAAGGAGTCTGGAAGTTTATATGTGCTGAAGGAAAGGGGTGCAGTAGTAGCAGCTGGATCAGTATCAAAAGAACACACAGAGAAGGCACTTTGTCACTTCAGGCTAGGTCATGCTTCATTGAAAGCTATGCAATACATCTCATCTCTACAAGACAGAATAAACACTATACAATTAGAATCTTGCAGTATATGTCCTTTAGCTAAACAATGTGGGTTGCAATTTTTTCTTAGCAACTCCAAGTCCACTACTATTTTTGAACTTGTTCATCTAGATGTTTGGGGACCCTATAAGGTGCCCACTTATGATAGAAAAAGGTATTTTTACGGTTGTTGATGATTTCAACAGATACACTTAGGCTTGTTTGATTCAATCAAAATGTGAAGTTTGTGTAGGCTGAAGAATTTTTTGTCTTTAATTCAGACTCAGTTTAGTGTGTGTGTTAAGATTGTGAGATATGATAATGGGACTGAGTTCTTTAATACATAGTGTAATGAATTGCTGTCATCTCTTGGAATCTTACACCAAAGTAGTTATCCTTATACACCCCAACAGAATAGGGTGGTAGAAAGGAATCACAGACACATCTTAGAAGTAGCCAGGGCACTAAAGTTTTAGAGTGGGGTTCCTATCAAATTTTGGGGTGACTGTGTAAAGACTGCTGTATATTTGATCAACAGAATACCTTCATCAATATTGACAGGAAAAATACCCTTTAAATTGCTATATGGCAAGGTTAGCAAGTTGGATCATCTAAGGGTCTTTGGTTATTTATGCTATGCAAGCAATCTACCTAGAGGAGACAAGTTTGCATCTAGAGCAAGAAACGCAATCTTCATAGGATTACGCTAAAACTCAAAAGGGATACATGTTATATGATATGGAGACACTGCCCTTTTTTGTCAGTAGAGATGTTCAATTTAGAGAAGACTGCTTCCCTTTCAAAATGGCAACTTTTGAAGAAGGTGATCCATTTTTCCAGCAACCAACTCAGCTCATAATACCTCAATCAGATCAAATCTCTACTCCATGTGACAATGTTGACACTTATCATCATGCTCAGCCCACACCTCTAGCACCTCCTGCAGATGACTCACTCCCTGAAGATAATGTTGAGATTGATATTGTTGATGCTCAATTACATGATCATCATATGCCAGATGTTGCTGAGCCAGCAGTTGCTGAAACTAATGAGCATCATGTACCAGCAGTTGTGCCACAAGATAGTGCTCCATCATGCACTACCAAAAGGCCTCAGAGGAAGACAGGGCCTCCCATTTGGATGAAGCATTATGTGAATCCTACAAAAGGAGCACCTGGTCACAAATATCCTGCATCTAACCATGTTGGTTATTCACATATATCTGCCCCATATCAATCTTATTTACAAGCTTTCTGAGTTCTCACTAAACTTGTAATGACCCGGCCCGTTATTTTGCGATCTAGCACGTCGTTTGACAGTTTTAGGCCTTGAGTAACTTTACTTCATGTTTTATGACTTGTACGCGTAGTCAGAATCTAATTTCGGGAATTCAGAGTTGATTCGGATAAAAAATTCTAAATTCGGAAGCTTTAAGTTGGTAGAGTTAACTAAGGTTTGCATTTTGAGTAAACGACCTCAAAATAAGGATTTGAAGATTTCAACAGGTTTGTATCATGATTTCAAATTTGGGCGTATGTCAGGGTTGAGTATCGGGTGGTCCGGGATCATTTCTACGCTTATTATGGAAAGCCGGCATTTCGAAAGTTTAAGAATTTTTTAAGTTTGATTTGAAGTGGACTTTGGCGTTATCGATTTTCGTTTGAGGTTTCGAGCCTTGGAATAGGTTTGTATCGTGATTTATGACTTGTACGTAAAGTTTGGCGTCATTCCGAAATATTTAAGTATGAATCAGACGCGTTCGTCGAAGTTTGAATGTTTGAAAGTTGAGAGGAATGTTTCGATCGTCGATTCGTAGTTTTGATATTGTTTGGTGTGATTTGGGACCTCGAGCAAGCTCGTGTTATGTTTTGGGACTGGTTGGTGTGATTGGATAGGGTCCCCGATGTTACATCTCGCATTTTTGTACGTTAAAGTTTCGTCTTCAATTAATCTACGTAGACTCTGGGATGAGATTATCTTGAGGTTAACGTATTTATGCTATTTATAACAAGCGATAAGTTAGTGTCATGAAGGATAAAGGGTACACGAATTAAAGAAAATGAGTTTCGATTGAAGATTGTCGATTTGGGATAAAATACGGTGCGAGCTATAATACCTGATATTTATGGACTCGTATCATACAAGGTACCATATGACCGTGATAGTATGATGTATAAAGTATATTAAAAATGAGTCGTATTTTAATTAATTTAAGATAATTCTTAATTATGTGGGTAATTAGTTAATTATCGGGTAGCGGGATATTACCTAATTAATTAATTGGTTGTAGGATAAGATTAAGACCCCTCCCCCACCCCACGTGGCAGCAAGACACTAACCAAACAAATGACTCTTGGTCATTTGTGATTAGGTGGCAACCTAATATATTAATTTCAAGACACTTCATTTCTAGGATTTTGAATACAAACAACATTTCATTCTCAACCACTACAATCAGATTCCTACAATTCCTTACACAACACTACAATCAAGAACGTGAGCTTTAGCACATTAGCAACACAATTTCTTACAAATTCCTACAATTCCTACAAGTTCCTACAAAGACACTACAACGTGATTTCTTCAACCAACGAGATTTCTTAGCACAGTAGCAACGTGAAATTTTGCGGTTCTAAAGGAGTACGGTGCAACATTTTTCAAGAATATCATACGGATTTTTCTCTACTCCAGGTATGTTAAGGCTATCTCTTCTTTCTTTTGGCATGATCTATACGATACAAACGAAACGAGCAAATGCACAACTTCCATAAATTACTCTATTCGTAGAAACGCTAGAGATGCGTATATTCTTGTTTTCCCATAAGTCTTATTATTCTATCGTCTGTTCATGGGTCTCAGAAAATACATAAGTTGATAACGTCTATTTCATGATATTAATTAGAGGCATAATGATCTTATGACATTCCGAAAGATTTTATTGACTTACTTATCATGCATTGCATTCATTTACATTGACCCATGACCATATATATATATATATATATATATATATATATATATGTGATATGGGAAAAGGTTACGGCGCTATATATGCACCACCACTTGATTAGTTGGTATATATTGATGATTTTGCCCATAGTGGCCGAGATGATATGATGGGATGCCCTCAGAGGCTTGATGATTTTATGTACACCTATACCTATGTAGACACGACATTTATATGCACGTGCATGATATTATAAATGTTTCAAAATTTACAAAGTTATTTAGACTTACAGGTGGAATTCTTTATTCCCTTGTTCATCTATGTCTTTTATGTACTAATTTATATGCCTTACATACTCAGTACATTATTCGTACTGATGCCCTGTTTCCCAAGGCCTGCGTTTCATGCCCGTAGGTGCAGGTAGACAAGCTGACGATCCCCCTTCTTAGGATCCTTGATCAGCGAAAGTTGGCTTGCTCCATTTGATCTGGAGCTGCTTTTGATTTTGGTATGATATGCTTGTATACATGTATGGGTATGACGTGGCCCAATCCCGTCCTTGTACAGTTGTATATTTTGTTAGAGGTCTATAGACAGTATATATAGTTGGATAGTATGTGGCCTCGCCGGCTTCCAGTTTTGGATATATAGTTATCTATAGCAGCCTTGCCGGCTTGCCCCAATGTATTCCGCATGTTTATGTATATATGTCTTTTGGACAGGTTTCACTCACGTACACTAATCATGTTTATATCTTAGACGCATGCTTAAGGGTGTTCGACAGGTAGGACTCGGGCATCCGTCGCGGCCCATCGGTTTGGGTTGTGACAAAAGTGGTATCAGAGCAGTTCTGTCCTAGGGTTGTCTATAGACAGTGTCTAGTAGAGTCTTGTTTATGGGTGTGTCGTGCACCACACTTATAAACAGGAGGCTACAGGACATATATGATGTTATCCTCTCTTCTTATCTTAGATCATGCGATATAAGAATTCATGTTCTTAACGATATGTTATATTTTCAGCGATGCCTCCAAAGACTTCAGCTGCCCAGAAGGGAAAGTCCGTGGCTGGTGAGATTACTTGTCGAGCACCACGAGTTACCAGGGCTCGGGGAGAGTCTCATAGTGAGATTCCATCTCAGACTTCACATACCCTGCCCTCTCCAGGAGAGCTCCGAGGGGCAACAGCTCCAGCGCCTGCCCATGTACGTTTAACCCCTCAGCCAGATACACCGGGTCAGGAGATGAGAGATGCTATTCAGCTATTAACTCGATTAGTAGCCTCATAGGCTCGGCGTCAGTAAGTAGGTATTGGTCATGCAGATAGGTCCGTCAGTACGAGGGTTCGTGATTTGATTAATTTAGACCCTCTGGTATTCACGGGGGTAGATCCAAATGAGGACCATCATGTATTTATTGATAGAATGCAGAGGACGTTGAGGGTAATGAAGGACACTACTACTGAGTAAGTTGAGCTAGCTTCCTATAGACTCCAAGATGTTGCAGTTAATTGGTACGAGTCTTGGGAATTGTCCAAAGGTGAGGATGCCCCTCCAACAGTATGGTAGGAGTTTATAGAGGCTTTTCTTTATCATTATCTGCCACCAGAGCTTAGATGGGCCAGAGTTGATAGGTTCTTGACCCTTCGATAGGGTAACATAAGTGTTCGGGAATACAGTCTTCAGTTTGATTCATTGGCTAGGTATGCTCCCACTATTGTATCTAAGATGGAGGATCGAGTTCACCGGTTCATGATGGGGTTAGAGCCGCACTTGCTTAACGATTGTATGTCAGTCTCACTTCAGGAAGACATGGATATTTCTCGTATTCAGGCATACGCTCAGGGTTTAGAGGAGCGTAAGCAGAAGCAGAGGGCCGATTGTGAGCCTGATAGGGCCCAAAATAAGAGAGTGAGGTCTTCGGGTCCTTCTGGTGAGTTTCAAGGTGGTCAGAGACAACAATACCCGAGGTATCCAACCCAGCCATCGACTAGCGCACCCCTTCAGTTTGGCGGTAAGATATTTGATCGTTCCACATATTCAGGGCTTGGTCAGAATTTCAAGGCCTCAGGTTCTCAGTATAGGGGTGAGTCAAGTCAGTTGAGGTCGCCCTTGCCATGATGTGCTCCGTGTGGTAAGCAACATATCGGGCAGTGCCGTATGGGGTTGGGTGTTTGTTATACTTATGGTTATCCAGGCCACGTTATGAGGGATTGTCCGATGAGAGGTGATGCAAGCATAGCCCAGCCAGCGGGATCTGTTGTTGGTTCGTCATTATCAGTACGCCCTCCTGGGCAAGGTTCACAAGAACCAATGAGTCGTGGTAGAGGCAAAGGCAGAGTATCTAGCTCGAGCGGTCCTCAGAACCGCATTTATGCATTAGTAGGACGACATGATCAAGAATCATCACCCGATGTTGTTATAGGTATATTATCAGTCTTCTCATATGATGTATATGCACTGATTGACCCAGGTTCCACCTTATCATATGTTACTCCGTTGGTTGCTAGTAAGTTTGGAATAAAACCTGAATTAGTTAAACCTTTTGAGGTGTCCACACCTGTTGAGGACTCAGTGATAGCTAAACGAGTATATAGAGGTTGCATAATAGTAGTTCATAGTCGATCTACCGTAGCGGACCTAATCGATTTAGATATGGTAGAATTTGATGTTATAATCGGTATGGATTGGTTGGCTTCTTGTCATGCCAACGTTGATTGTAGATCAAAGATAGTCCGATTTCAATTTCCAGGGGAGCCTATTTTGGAATGGAAAGGTAATACGGCATCACCGAGAGGTAAATTTATTTCCTATCTCAAGGCGAGGAAGATGATCATAAAGGGCTATATTTATCACTTTGTTCGGGTTCGGGATGTGGAAGTAGAGTCAACAACCATTCAGTCCATCCCCGTGGTTAATGAGCTTCCCGATGAGCTTCCAAGTCTTCTGCCAGAGCGAGAAATTGAGTTTGCTAGTGACCTACTACCAGATACTCATCCAATACCTATTCCTCCCTATAGAATGGCCCCCGCAGAGCTGAAAGAGTTGAAGGAATAACTAAAGGACTTGCTTGAAAAAGGCTTTATCAGACCTAGTACATCACCGTGGGGAGCACCAGTGTTATTTGTGAGGAAGAAAGATGGTTCCTTACAAATGTGTATTGATTATAGACAATTGAATAAGGTGACAACTAAGAATAAGTACCCGCTCCCGAGGATTGATAATTTATTTGATCAGTTACAAGGTGCCAAGTGTTTCTCAAAGATAGACTTGAGGTCCGGGTACCATCAGGTAAGGGTTAAGCAGAAAGATA